CGTGGACGAGACGAAACGAATCGAGAGGCCTGACCTGGTGCAGCCGAAGAAGTTCGCACCGAGGCCCACCTACGAGCACCGGGCGATCTTCGATCGCGCCGACGACGACCTCGATGACCTCGAGTTCAGGATCGGCGCGCTGCCAGTCGACCGGCTCTTCGATCTCCGCGAGGCCTTCGAAGGGTTCGTCGACCAAGGTTCGTACACCGGTGTCAAGGTGCCGCCAGACACCATCGATCGCCGCTCTAAAAAGGCTAAACGAGCGCCGCCCTTCTCGCCATCGGACGCGAGTAACCCCAAGTCGCCACTTTTTTCCCTACTTTCGTTTATCTATTTAGTTTTCTAAAGATACGTTTGCCGATTGGTAAATTGATCGCGATACACTTGGACGATCGAACCGGGCGACTTGTTGTTACAAAGACCGTCACAACGATCCGCGACGATCCGAAGAGGCTCTGGAGACGTGCAGCGAGTTGTCGAGCGCGCGAGAATCGAGACGTACTGACACGATCATTCCAGAAACCACTTGCAGCCACTTAGAGTTTACTCTATATCCAGCCATCGACAACTTGCTAATTTAAACGCTGGCTACGACGAGACCTGGATCATCCGGACTGAGAGGCTGGGGCGTCCGCAAGCAAGTTTGCCCCATGAAACGTTTACATCTACCTGAAATACTTTCTATTTTCCTCGTTCCATCGGCGATTCGAACCAAATTCTCCATCACGGGAACCATTTAACGACCGTTCAGCTTTGTTGACCGTAGGAAAATTCGTCCGGAACGAATTGGCAGCGGGCTAGGATCAGTTTTTCGATGCTTTCGGCCGCGTGAAAAAGAACCGCTGACGGAAAGTTAAGCGTTCGATTGGCCGCGTGAATCGACTCGTGCCGACGCAGTTTCGCTTGCAGACGCTTTTATTCCGCCTGAAATATCCGCCGTGCACTGTCATCTTGCGGGGAGAGGTGCATTTCTCTTTCCGTCGTTCTCTCCGCGGCGGTTAGGCTCGCGACGAGAAACGCGACGTAGAACCGACGATCAGAACCGCGCGGAACGGCTTCTCCATGCTCCGTTACGCTTGCTCGTTTACAGTGAAGGTCATCCCGCATCCGGACAATTCGACCACCTTCGAGATGATCGAGTCGCAGGTGGAGAACCCGCTGATCGACGCCGACCATCAGGATCTACTGGCCATTAAGCAGATCCCTGTGCCCGGAGGACATCATCACAAGTCGCATCACAAGAGGAATCAAACGGACGATCACGACCGTGAGTACCAAATGTGTCCTTCTAGGTTAGGTTTATAACCCCTTGCCTTACGATCGTTCAATGGCTGTCCCTCTTAATGCGAGAGGATCGAGAGCTTACTATTTCTGTTTAACCCTTTCGCTGCGGCAGATTATCGGCACAATCTTTTGCTTTGGCGTTTCAAAATTTTCAATTTCTATTATTAAATGAATATCAACGCCAATAGCGGTGAAAGGCTTACCCTCAAACTTATAAATTAAAATCGCTTTAATAATGTGTTAAATGAAAAAGATCGAGACATTATGTACATATATGTTTCTATGTAATAATTCTCGGACTTACGAATTAGAACTGAAGTTAGAGGTAAAATGAAAGTTTATTACGAATAGAATTCACTTTTGTAATATCTCGGCCATAACTTACACAACCAGTGTGATTTGTCAGTATAAGGCAAGGGTTAAGAAGATGAGAAGAAACTTACATACCGAGTGGTACAAATACCTTGGTTCAGAAGGGTCTGCAGGTTAATTAATTATAAAAATTTACGTTTAAGATTGTGGCAGGTACTTTAATGGGTATGCGTAATAGACAGTGTAGGTAGGGTAGCTTATCGTTACATCGTATTGCAGGCGTAATAGCCCTATTGAGTACCATAGTTTATTTGTTTAGGTTACGTAGGAACCTTAATTTGCATTCTGTATGTTTATGGTATGTAGGCTTTAGGTATTATATTATTAAATGGGGAGGATGAAAGGTGCATTGTCGAAACAAAGTTTAAATATGTACCTACTTATGTATATATTGACAAGTATAATTCTTCCAAATTTAATTAGGTTTCAGACTAACTATTTTGCCTGTTACACAAAAATGAAATAGGTAATCCTTACAATTGAACCAAAAAATTGTCAGAAATCTTAATTTTCAGGTCCCTAAGGTGAAAGACTCCTTAAGTTTATTTATTTAACATCTTAATGAACTGTGAATATTGAACTTATAAAAGTTAACATACATGGCGAGTACGTTGACTTTTGAGGTTAAGTGTACCTATATGTAAGAAATCTATTGCAACGAAGAAAAGGAAATACGATTAAAGTACTATTAAGAGAGCAAGAATGTTGATGTTTAGAAAAATCCCTTATTAGCGTAGCGTTTTCTAATGTAAAGAAAAATGTAAATGTCTCGAGATTACAGATCGATTTTAAGGCTGCAGTATACCTGAGGTGACCTTAATGAGATGGCTAATGATATCTTCCTAAACTTCTTTGGCCGTACCTGACGCATCCGACGTGATCTTTTTGATGCTTCTACATGTTTGTGTTTTATTAATAATTTCAATGTTTAGTTGTATGATTTTTAGCGATAATTTATTTTTTATTTGAATGTTTTATGAGGCTTTAAATTTATTTATGGTTATCATGGTCTTCTTTAGTTTTTTCACCTTTTAGTGGACCAAAAGACAAATACTGCAGGCCCCTCTAAACCAAGGTATTTAACCCTTTCATTACTATTGGCGCCTATAGAAGTTTGGATCCTTTTGGTGCACTTCCACGTTAATGTAATAAGCCAAATTTCAAAACGATACCCTGAAAATACCAAATTTCGCAGCTGTGATTAAAAATTCTCTAACAGGATAGGTGGCTAAAGGATTTATATCCAGTAGTAACGAAAATAACAAAGACGTTTAATTTACATTTAAGAGACAAATGTGTGTCGAACATGAGACCGCCTGATAATTGACCTAAATCTAGGTCGTCGATGTACTCCATCCCGCACAGAGATCTCATCAACAGCTTTTGATCTTTCCAAGACCCTTTCGAGACCGTTAAAGTAGCCTCTAATTGAAACACACAACGACAAGCTTGTCTCGAGCACAAGCCCCATCTTCCAAGACTGTCAATTCAACTTGCACGATCTTCTCGACGTATAGTCAACGACGTATACATATTATTTCCATCTCGTAACGACTCGTCTCACGAGGTACACACGCATCCTGTAGGATCCGAAAAGTTCGTTTTGGGTTAAAGTTCGGAATCCGGCGGCTCGAGAAATAATATGCAGAGATACGGAACTGGCGGAAATGAGGGGACGAAATTAAATTAAAGTTTCGCTGGTGATAGGAGAGATGGTGCGCGATCGGTTTCCAAACTTTCCCCTCTACGAGCTTTCCGAATACGAGAAAAATTTACGAGGTCTCGTTACACACCGCGGGAGTTTGTACCGTGAAATTTCGCTGGATAATTTCACAC